GTAGGCAATGTTAATCCCACTATGCACTGTACCATGTCTGCTACTGTGGATGATGAAGAAGACCTTGATAGTTTTAATATTTTTTCTACATTTTCTAACACTCAAACCAGTAGCAGGAACATTGATGAACTTCAATTCTACTTGCAGAAGCAAAAAGAGCCTCGCACAAAGGAATTTTCACCGTTGGGATGGTGGCATGAGAATGGAAAGCAATTTTCAGTTCTTTCCGCTATGGCTCGGGACGTGCTGAATGTGTCAATTTCAACTGTTGCATCGGAGAGTGCATTTAACCAAGCAAGACAATAACTTGGAGACACCCGTCACTCTTCGGAAGCAATGCTTTGGAAGTTTTAGTATGTTTCAGAGATTGGATTAGATCGGAACGAAGAAATCAAGGACGTGAAGATGTTGATAGCCCAGAAGACGAGGAACTTGGAGATATATTAACACATAGTAACTCATCCGAATTTAACACTCCAGAAGAAGGCCACTCATGTCATATTGATCATGACGAACTTACTAAGGCAATGCAAAACCTTTGAATTTACTCTTTTTTGGTTAATTTACTTGTTGTTAAATGTAAACCTTTCAATTTGTAAGTTTGAATTTTGAAATAAATGTAGCACTTACAATTTATAAGTGCAATTTTCCCCCACTTTCATTGTATTCTTTATATTTTTACTTTATATTAATATAACTTTACAATAGTTATACAAAATACAAAAAAAAAATTAAAAATTACACTAACCCGGCCCGGCCTGGCCCCTTGAACCCGTAACCCTTACGGTTCAATTTTTACCCGAATGAACCCAAACCCGTTAAACCCGATATGCCCCAATCCGTAACCGGCCCGGACCACAACCCTTACGGTTACTAAATTTCCCTACCCAGCCCGACCCGCCCCACCCGTTAGACACCCATACTCAAGCCCCTCTTCCTTTATTAGCCGATCTTATCTCATTCTGTAAGCATTCTATTCTCAGTTGAATGTTCAATAAAACTCTCTCTTCTCTTTTGAATTCTCATTTATTGCTCATAGAGGGTGGATTGTTCAAGAGTAATTCCTGGTTTTACTCCTGAGGAACACTCGATTTCTTTCCATTTTAGTTTTTTGAAAATTGAGCTCCATCAACTATATTTTTGGGTTGTGGTATAGGAATTCAAAATATAATATATAGAGGTACAAGACGGATTTTGCCTTATATATATACAATGTAATTTTACGGTGAAGGGTTTAAAATAACCCCCTTCCGCCCCCTAAATCCCGGCCCTGATGACGAGTGAGCATAATTATTTTGCCTACAAAATCATTTACCTTTTTTATTCTCTAAAAATAAAGTTTACATTGGATCGTAATTAAATTATTTCTCTAATAGTTAGGACAATAAAATCAACTAAATTATTCTAATTAAATCTTTTATTATTTTACCCTCAGGGGGAAAACATCGCAAACAAATCTATATACTATATTAAAAGCACGAAGGCCCTTAGCGAAATGTCGTTCGCCTTTTTTACCCTTTAACATTAGGTTTCATATTAGACGAAATAGTCATTTAATAATTCCTAATATTTAGGAGTAAATATTTAATTATTTTTCTTATATTTAGGAATGGATAATTAATTTTTTTTTGATAAGGTTAGGAATAGATAATTAATTACTTCCCTAATATTTATGATTCCTTTCCTTTTAGGTTTTAAAGTCCTTTTTTTTTTCTCATAGTTTAAATTGTTTACGCATTCCTTTTTTTTTTAAAAAAAAAACTGATTACATGTAAACATTTCGCCCACTTACAGTTTTTTTTTTAAAGATTTAGGAGTCATTTTTTTCCCGCATGAGAAAAATTGTCTCTTTTAGCTATCTAAATACAAAAAGACGTCATATTTGTGAACTTGAAATCACAATCTTTGAATGCTCCTCTCCTTTCTTTTTCCAGGGGGAGAAAGAAATTACTTTTTTTATTTGATAATGATTATGTTTATATTATAATTGACGTTACAAAAAATATAACATTGATATGCAGGTTATCTTAGGAATATTTTCTATGTTTAAATAAAGTATAAGCAAATTAATAATGTGGATGTTTGATAGACAATTGCAAATTAAAAGGCTGTCAGTTATGATTTTTTTAACTATATCTCATGTATGATTATTAGTTTAAAATGACATATTTACAAATTTTATACATATTGTTTGGACCATTCCCTAACAAAAAATTGGTTAGTTATTCTAACTCATATCAATAAAATAAAAGGAATTCATATAAAAACATTTTTAGAAAATAAACATGCAAATTATTTTTGTAACTTATTTCCCATAAAATGTTTTTATATAATATAAAAAAATCAAAAGATTCTTTTAATTAAATCAGGCTTACTTTTAAAAAGCCTTAATTTTAGATGAGAACTGATTATACAGACACAACAAAACTAAAACTAAATTCATGAGATTTGGTTGAAAAAAAATAAATTGTTATTCTGATTTTAACATGAAATTTATATTTTTATACCTTCTAGGATAGTATTAAGTATTAACATAGTCTTTTCAGAACTCGTCAACTGCAAGTAATTTAATTTTAACTATGGACGCTTACTCCATAAAAAAATAATATTTGGATGCATCCAAAATAAACACATGGTTATATAATTGGACAAAGAAAAGAAAGTTTTCTCCAAGACGACAAAAGTAGTGATTTCTTCTTTTCTAATCCGTTGAAAATAATTTCTATATTATTTCTTATTGATTAAATAAATTGAATAATTTGCATTTTCGTTGCGAGAAAAATAAAAGGAGACGTATTTTGTTAGTTAGTTGATCCTTTAAAATGGGTACAATTCCCTATCCATGATTAGTACTTATCATTTTTAGGAGCATATAATTGTATGTTAGTTTTTATTTTATGATATAAATACACTTTGAAAATTATTTTATGTTATTTTTAAATTGTTATTTTCCAATATTCTGTACTATATTAAAAACAAAAAGTCCCATAGTGAAATGTTCTTCACATTTTTTACCCTTTAAAAATACAGTTTGCCTGAGAAAAATAGTAATTTTTTTACTATTTAGGAACAATCATTCAACTAATTATCTAAGTATTTAGGAATTTAAAATCAACTAAAATCTTACATATTAAATCTTTCCTTGTTTGAACTATATCAAAAGTCGTTATATGTAGAACTTTAAAATCATTAAAATTTTACCTTCTAAAAATCTTACATTAAGCTATATATAGACTATAAACAAAATAAATAAATAAAATATTAAAAAGATCAATGAAAGAGGAAGTATGAGGTTTTGGATAATAACGGAGATGGTCAAAGTCTTTTTATAAACTTTTATACATTCTGATTTATATGAAACAATTATCAATTATTCTAACAAAATAATTTATGAGATATTTTGGCATTTTTAAATGAGGTTAAGTTTAGTTGAATATAGGTAGGTTTCTTGACTACAATTATGGCTTTGCATTTTGATTTAAAATTATTTATGGTATATAATGATTTTTAATTATTTGAGATTTACAAAATATTTTCATTTGTTTTTTTCGGGAACATGTCATTCGTGAATTTTTTTTTTTACCTAATGGATTGTTTACTATTTGAAAAGGAATTCTTATTGAATAAGAATATTACTATAGTTAAATATTTAAAATATGGTATTAGGTAATACTATTGAAGTACAAATCTGATTTGAATAATGACACTTCAAAATCAAATACGCTCTTCCAATTCCAATTCAGCCATTGAAGTAAATTTTAAGTTGAATTATTGATTGATAATTGAGTACTTATGTTGGACAATTTCTGTCATTATAGAGTTAACAATACACGACCAACATTCATCATTTTCAAGAAATTATATTTTATTTTAGAACACAAAGACAAATTTTAAATAAGTTTTTACTCATTAAAATAGGGTACACGCGCAAAGCGCGTACGTTAAAATTAGTTTTTTTATAAGTATGAAATCCAAGGAGTAAGAATGAAGCACAAAAATACCCTTGTAAATTGATGGACTTTTTTAGCCTTTCAGCAATCATTAATGCTTTCGTATAACGTACAAAAATGTAAAATCATTTGAAATAAATAACACTAGGTTAAAAAAATAACGTATCTTCTATTAGGAAAATCAAATCAGCAACTTTATTGCCAACCAAGAGATTTTAAGTCCCATTATTAAAAGACTTTATCTGACAAAACCAACCGTATACTTTTAAATTTAAAGATTACAAAGATTTCTAATGTACAAAAACATTAAATATTTTCAAACTCTTTGCATTATACCCAGTATTTTACTTTCATTGCCTCGAATTTTTTAGCCTCGGTCATCTTTTAGATTGCCATAGCTCCGGAGTTATTCTTGTATTCTCCACCAAAAACATACTTTGCATCTCCAAAATTCTGAATTTTGCTGTCTTCTTCGACTTTTATTTTTAAATGGAGAAGGGTAGAGGGGCGAAACCATTATCCATCGAGTTTTGGATAGTGCGCCAATGGCCCTCAGGGACTCTGAGCCTAGGAAATATACCAGCATACTTGTGCTACCATATTTCCCTCTGGCTCGTCAATTGGTTGAGGAAGGCATTTATTGGAAAAACAGGAAGAAGATACGTGAACCAAAAAAAAATTGAAGTTGAAGCTATATGTTCAATGATCACGCGATCTGATACAATTGTACCATTTACAAGGTTAGTTTAGTCTTTTTATATACTATTATTAAAAATAAATGAAGCAAGGGTTTAAATAATATTAGGATATTATATGGAGGTGTACTGTGTAGGGTAGTTTACTCTACAAAATAGGATGCAATTAGTGCACATGGGAAAGTCTTTCCCTAGGAACATGGAAATAGCATGAACACATTCTGACAAATAGCAAGAATTAGCAAGATAAACAATGCTTCATCATTTGATCAATGAATTAGTTGTCTTTAACATCAGGTTTCACATCATGAAAGTTAATTAGTAAATACTAAATAACATAACAAAGCACCTCACAAGTAAAAACACTATATATTTTAAAACACCAGGTGCCAATAGAGAGGACCCTCTAAACGAAGTTAATCCCAAAATCTATTTCTCATGCATTCCTGTTCTATGGTACTATTGTTTCTCATGACTAAACAGATCTACTAGCAATATAGTTAAAAGATATCCTTTACATCCATGTCTTGTTCTATATTAGAAAAACAAACAGAATTTAACAACACTTGAGTCTGAAGCAGTACCAATACTCATAAAGCCGCATCCTGATTATCAGCCCCATCCTGATTATCAAGGCCGATAATCAGGATCACCAGTTTTGTCATCTGGTGGCGATGCCACAGACATCGAGTCTGAATCAGACCCGGCTCCAGCAGGCGCAGCAGCTCCAGCGGGCTCAGCAACATCTTCAACCAGGAACCTGCTTATCATAAGACATTTTAGCAAGTGATTTCTAATCTACCCTAGGAAAAATTACCAAAGACAATGACAATACCTCCGACGTACACCCGACTGAAAAGGGGCAGGAACAACAACCTCAACCGCAACCGGGGCAGGAGCAACAACCTCAACCGGGGGAGGAGCAACAATCTCAACCGGGGCAGGAGCAACAATCTCAACCTCAGCACTGTAAAAAAAACAATAAAACCATAGCTCTGATTAGCCTAAAACGCTTGAATAAACTTAGAAGAGCTATAAAAGAGTTATTCTTACAGTTGTTTCCTTAAAAGCTCAATTTGAACATTCATTGCTGCTATCTCCTCATCACGAGCATTAAGAATCCTTTCACACAAACAGAAAAGTCTATGATTCTGTACTACATATGGCAAGAGAGAAATGGCATAATTTTCAAAGGAGAACAGCGATTAGATGTAATACTAAGCAAAGAAATAACGCAAGACGTGCATAGGCGAGGGACTAGTAAGCAACGGCTACTAGTCCTAATGTGCATAGGCGAGGGACTAGTCCGCGCGATCTTGAGAACTAAAAAAGTAAACTTTTGTCGTTTATGATGAATAATGATATATATAATAATATTTGATGTTAAAACTTTATTTGACTGCTATAAATAAAAATATAAAAATTAATTTTATTCGTTTTCTAAGTATATATAAAAGATTAAAAAATTACTATCTTAGTTTGACACAATATTATCTATGGGTGTCTAACGGGCCGGGTTAGCCCGTTTCCGGAACGGCCCAGACCGGTACAAGAAGGCCGGGTTGGGCTGGGTTAAAGGGGTAGGCGGGTTTGGTCTGTTCACATTTTGTCAACCGGTTAACCGGACCGGTCAAACCCCGTCAACGTAACTTACTATTCAACCGGTTAACCGGCCCAGTTTAAAAGCTATTCATTTTTATTTTATTTATTTATTAAGGTTTTAGGGTCTAAGACAATGCAAAACCTTTGAATTTACTCTTTTTTCATTAATTTACTTGTTAAATGTAAACCTTTAAATTTGTAAGTTTGAATTTTGAAATAAAAGTAGAACTTGCAATTTATAAGTGCAATTTTTTCCCATCTTCATTGTATTCTTTATATTTTTACTTTATATTAATATAAATTACAATAGTTATACAAAATACAAAAAAATAAAAAATAAAAACACTAACCCGGACCACAGCCCGTACGGTTACTAATTTTCCTTACCCAGCCCAGCCCGGCCCGACCCACCCGTTAGACACCCATAATATTATCTTTGTTTCTAAAGGAATAGCTTGATGTCTAAACCCAATTTGATATTAATTATTCTAATCAAGCAATCAAAACGCTTTACGTGAATATATTAACATGATACAAGAAATATTTAATCCAATAAAATAAAATACTTATACTTTAGTGACTAATTTTACAAAAGATCGCACTCTACTAAAGATGTTCATAAATCACTTAATTTTCCTGCATTTGGAATCGAGTGCGAAAACCAAAAACAACCTGGAGCTTTTTACTGCAAATTCTAAATTTTCATTATTCAACACTGCTCCTAATTTAAGCAACCACAAATCCCTTATGAATCACTTACATCCATTTATTTGTCACAAAGGACAACATACCACCAACAGTAAGGTAAAATTCAGTACAAAAGGCTATTAACAAACAAAAACTTAGACTTGGAAACCATCTGGTCATTGATTAGAGGATACACGGTTCTTTGGTCTAAAAGAGAGAACAATTCAAAACAAAACCAACAGATACACACGATAGATCTATACATTTGAACCCAAATAAAAGATGAACAAATTGGCTTTTCCATATGGAATTCAAACAGAGTAACAGGGGTTTTCTTGTGTTTACCTCACTGCCAGAACAAAACCGAACAGAAAAACCCAATAAAGGCTGAAGAACTAAGGCTGGAGCTAGCCATGAATTCGGCAGAAACAACAGCAGCAAACCAACACTTCTCAAACTTGTTCGCACTTGAATTTCCAGAAAAGTGGAGCAAAGGAGTAAATCTTAAGCTAGCTTTGTTTCAAGGTTGTTCCATGACTGATTTTTCAGCAGTAACACAACCATTTTGGGGCTGATTTGAGGTCAATTTTGAGCTTGCTTTCAGGGATGTTTTTCGGAGCTTCACTTGAGTTGGTTTTAATGGAGTATTGGCTGAGAGGATGGCGTTTCAGGGCTGTTTGGAGAAGGAGGTAAGGCTGGGTTTTTGAGAGTTAAAATGAGGAAGGTGAGCTGAGTTCCATGGCTGGACCTTCAAGGATGAAGAAAGAAATTTCAGAAGAAAATGGAAAATGAGCGGGTCTGACGTTGAACTTGGAGAAAATGAAGGAGAAGATCGAAGCAGGGGGGGGGCTTGCGCCGTTTTTGGGTCTTCTTTGTATTTTCCTAAGGTGAGGGATCTGATCGATTTTTGCTTTAGCTTTTTAACTCTTTTTGGGATTGGGGTTTGTTTTGAAGAAGATGAAGCAGAATCGTGGGAGGGTCCGGGGGTGATGGAGTTGAAGCTCTTTGTGTTTTGAAGATGGAGGAAGAAGAACGACGGGAATGGGGTCTGTTGGTGTCTGTAGTTGATGAAGAGAGTAGGGGTCGTTTTGAAGAAGATGAAGCAGAATCGTGGGAGGGTCCGGGGGTGATGGCCGTGTATTTCAGCTTTTGTTATTAATGGAGAGAATGGAGCTGGTATTTATGCTTCTTTTTTAAGGAGAGAGAGTTGATGAGTGTCTTAAGGTTGTGAATGGTGTGAGTGGAGGAAATATTTTGGGGAGAGTGAGGAACATCAATAGGGAGAGTGGGAACATGAGTGGGCAAAATGGAAAAAGTGGGTAGTGAGTAGAGAAAGTGGAGAAAGTGGGTAGTGAGTAGAGAAAAGTAGGAATAAATTCAAACATGGTAAAAAATAAGCTGCTCACACTAACAATTCCAGGTAACTAAACTCTTGAACCACTGTTGCATCTTCTAATTTCAACTCTGCTCGAAACACTGATCCTATCAAAATTTCTACTGTTAGAAGTGTTATTGTGCGATTGGCTTCTTCTTCTCCACATTTGTCTTTTCGAGCTTCTAGGGTTAATTTTTGGCAGATCAACAAACTGTTCGGCTGGTTTCGTTCTCCTCCACATCTGAATTGGTTAGTTGTTAGAATTCATCTTTCTCTATTTTCCCGATGTCGTTCATACTGTATTAATTGAATTTCTGCCCTTGTGATTACATCATAGTTGTTGACGAATGTGAGAGTTTGATTTATCCAAATACTTGTATGTCCCCTTTTATTTTGCTCCTTTTCCTCCTCGATTTTTGTTGATTAACAATTCATAAAATTCCCGTTCTTGATAAAAATTCAAGCTTTTCACACTTTCTCTAAATACCCATTAAGAGTTTCAGAATTTTCAAACCAATTGGGATCAAGACTTATTTGCTTAAAACAGTCTTAAGTCTAAGCAGCGTCTTGAAACGGGTGTTTTCAATTTTAGATGCTTCGTTACAATCTCTTAAGGCTTTCGGCGCTATTACAAAGAGTTAAACAGAGGGATTTCCTGAGAGGTTATTTTCGATTTCGGCTGCTTCGTTATAATCTCTTAAGGATTGAGGAAATTTCTGGAGATTTAAATGGGCTTCGGCGTGATTACAAAGAGCTAAACAAACGAATTTTCTCTGTTTTGAGAGGTTATTTGAATCAAGATTTTTGTGGGTGTTTGGATTCTTTTGTTGGAACTATTTGAATGAGATGGAAATGTAATTACTGGCTCTATTTTACCGAGAAAAATATTTTCGTACAAGAAACAGGGAGACACCCTGAACAAAAGCTTTGATTGGCACCATTAAGAGTATAAGTTTCACAAAGCCTGGGTGTCTAATCACAAAATAAAAATTATCTATGAAGACATGATTCTGTCATATTCCTATCTCTTTAAAAAGCATTTGCATATGTTGTCTTGATTTGCTGTGATAATTGCACTTCAGATTTTTGTCGTAATGTTAATTTCATTCTTCTTCTCTATCTTTTAAATCCAAGAAATTAAAATTTCGGTGTTGATGTTGTTTTCAATAGTTCCTAATTTGTATTTTTGTTTTGGTAAAGTTTTTATCGCATCAGGTAATGTGAGTTCCTGAAATTAAATTAACACTGAGTTTCATCAAGTGTTTTCTATTTAATGAATTTTTTACTGTAGGTCTTGCACCAACGCATATTTGGGAGCGCGAAATTTGAATATCGATGGACTATAGACAAACAAACAAGCGTCCATGCTTTGGAAAAAAAATGTCTAGATCGAAATGTTAAACGACGTGAACAATATAAACTTAAGATGGCGAATGAAAAGAGTGCCTTAGCATTACAAGAGGTACCTACAAAGCAGGTGCTGAAACATAATCCCTTTGAAAGAGCGACTTCTATCATTCCTACTGAGATAACAACAACATCAGGACATCTCCAGTGTACGTCTACAAAGGACTCTTGCTCTACTCTCAAAACAGGTTAGTATATCAATTTTGTATCGCAATCTCTATAGTATGCGCAATTGTTTCATTATTTAGTGCAACTGAAATTTTTGTGTGTGCATGAATATGTATCATAAATTTAATATTGTGAACATCTGTTGTGCTTACTGCCTATCTGTATATAGTGACGTCACAATCTTTCCAACATTCCCTGCTTTTGACAAAGAAAATCCTTTTTCCACTTATGAGAAAGGCAAATTACTGAAAGTTACCATAAGCTTATGCCAATATACAAGATATACTATTGTTCACTAAAAGACTATTTATCTGTTAGGTTCAACATCAGCTGCACCAAATGAACAATATGATACAACTAAGATCGGAATGTTACAACTTCTAGAACGTGCAGGTCGCAATCAAAATAACACAACTGCTATGAATATTAAACTACGATCAGACTATATACCATTAAAAAAGGTTCTCAGCTGTAAATTCTGCTCTGCGAAAAGATTTGAATATGAATATGCTGGATTTTGTTGTAGCAATGGTACAATTAAGATAATTTCACATTGAATGCCCGCTAAGCTACATGATCTATATTTCGAGAATAATGAAAAATCCCAACACTTTCGGACATACATCAGAACATATAATAATTCGTTTTCATTTACATCACTTGGTGTAAACTATGATACAGACTTAGCGAGAAGGAATCGTGGTATCTATACTTTCAGAGTTCAAGGACGGATGTATCACCTAATAGACGATTTGTATCCCGGAGAAAAAAACCTAAGAAATCTATACTTTTACGACAACAACAATGAGTTAGCAAATAGAATGGCATGCTCTAACAAAGTTAATAAATCTATAGTGAGAGAGCTAATAGATATATTCAGAGTTAACCCATACTCCTTTTTTATTCGATCTTTGATAGATATTCCCGAGCTACAAAACTTCCATATTGGACTCAAATGTGATCCTGGTTTAGATCAACGAGTATATAATTTGCCAACTTCATCAGAAATTGCTGCAATATGGGTTGAGGATAATGACAATAGTATAAATCAAGCACCACATATTCAAATTTACACTCATATATATATAAAATCACAAAACTAGTAATATTAAATTGGGCGGTTGATTTATAAATAAAATTTTCAATAAGTACAAGTTGTCGTATTTTGAACTTAATAAAGGAAGAAATTATGTCATAAAAATTATTCTAATATCTTATCACAACTCCAATACTAGATGATTTTTGCCCAACGATTTAAATTTAGTGGTAGTTTTTTGTCTTCTACTTGTTAATTTGCTTGCTTTAATACATGGTGTTATTGTCTCAACTAAAATCTAGGTGTAGCTCATTTGATTGCATGTACAAGTTACTATAATACCTTTCTAAAATTCTGCATTAATAATACAATGTTAGTTGTTCAAAATTGGTATAAAACTCATCATTATAGTACTATTCACTTGTTATAAAATCAAGAGAGACCAGGAAAGATTGCTTGAAATAAAAATAAATATTTGAAAAATTATATCCTAAGCCCACGTTACTGTTCAATAAAATTACTAATCTTTTACCGTTACCTGCATAAAGACAGATGTTTTTATCTTGAAAAATGTGAGTAACAATTAAAGATGATTTGTGGTTTTAAAAATATGTGATTTATTGCAATACTAGTGAATATACAAGTAATATTAGGTTTAAGTAAGAAGAATTGATGAACCAAACCAGTATTGCTAGAGCAACGGGGACCTCGAGCTCGATTATCTTGGGGGCCTCGAGGTGAGTTAAGAGCAAGTGAAGTATGAATAATAAAGTAAAAACAATAAAGCTGAAGAATAATTGTGGAGCACAGTAAATGAGAAAAGCATAGTAGAATGTTCTATTGTAGTGAATGAGATCTCTTTTTACAAAGATTGGGGTCCCCTTTATAGGGGAAAACCCTAATATGGTACATTTTCAATTATGATAAAAAGATTTATTGGTACAGCTGTATAACAACCTAGTACGGACTTGTACTATTTCATACAAATCTTATCCCTTAATTTATAACCTGACTCACGTGACGCTCTTTCTTGAGTGTCATCGAAATTATACTTTCTTCGTGGCAGATTATGGCGGGTCTCCGATTTGCTTCTCGAGATGCACACATCCCGGCCAGGGTATGATCAAGTCTTCGATTCTTACTCCGAGCTTCCGAACTCAGGCTTGGGGTATGATCAAGTCTTCGAAATTGAGCTCTCCGACTTAGACCGTATACAGATAGTCCCCGTGTTTCTTAGAATGAAATGATATGAAATGATTTCAATTCCCAAGTCCTTTATGATGGCATCACTCTTATGACGTAAGCGTTGAAATGACTGAAGCGTCCCGTTGGTTCTCTTCCCCAAAAGCATTAAGTGCACGTCAGAGATGGCCGGCCATCAATATTAATGAACAGTCGTCGCCTTCCTCTATATATACTTGTTTTCTCTTCTCTTTAAGGACTTTCCCACCTTGCAACACCTATTTTCCTCTATTCGTTTCCTTTTCACCACCAGTTCCTCTGCTATATTGTCTCAAAACCTCGCTGGTTCATTCATTTCTTCCTTCTTTTTCTAAAGAACTGATGGCAAAAACTTCCAAGTCCATTCTTCAGAAAAAAGGAAACTCTACTTCTACTTCCCGTCCGACCAGTGGTAAGCCGCATGTGCTTCACGAGATCATACCAAGAAATTTTCCTTAACGAAGTACTTTATAGTCGAGAACCCTCCCGACATCGCCGACCGTCGAGAGCATTCATCGAGATACATAAGGTCAATTGAGGAAAAACACCTCGATGTTGTGAGAAGAGAGTGTAAATGGGAAGAGAAGTTCGTTTTGCAAATACCTTCTCTAGGGGAGCACATCACAACTTACGTAGAAGGGTTCCTGAGTGTATATACATACCCCTTTACGCTGGGTCTCCTCGACCCGCTCACGCTTGAATTCTGCCGAAGATATCAAGTAACCCTAGGCCAGATTCATCCGTTCTTTTGGCGGATCATAATAATGATGCGATTCTTTAGCGAAAAAGGCCGGGCTCGAGTTCACCCTCAGCCACCTCATCTAATTATATCGACCTCAACATTTTCGAGGTTTAATCAAACTCTAACACCGATTAACCAAATCCTTTTTCGCCAGTAATGACGAAGGCAATAATCGAGGTTGGATGAGCCGGTTCATCCGAGTGAGGACCGCCGATATTATTCCCGAAGAGTTCTTGTCGTTCCCCGAGGAATGGAACTTCAAACGTGAGTGGAATTCTTCGATTTAGTTCTTTTCCATAAATTTTGCTAAACTTCGCATAATTACTCATTTCCCCTCTCCGCAACGGTTGTGTGGATGCCTAATGCAATCACCATACGACAAACGCAAATGGCGGGACTTGTCGAAGGGCAAGTGGGAAGAGAAACACCACGGTACGCGTCATATTGTTTCTTTACTCATTAAGAATGTCTTTCTTTATGTGACTTGATTCCTCTATCACAAGTATTGGTGAGTTATTCGAGATGAGGCCGCCCCCTTCCGGGGAGGAAGTAGGATTTTCGGCTCTAAAGTCAAAGAAGGATAACAAGAGAAAAAGGTCCTCGAAAAATGAGGACACTCAAATCCAAGCAGAGTCCGCTCGGAGGCGTTAGAAAAGTGTCGTCATCAACGTGGATGTTGACTTGGTCCACCAGTTCATGGACGATGACAGTGACGAGGTGGAGGGTCCGACGCTAGTGGCTCGAACCAGGAAATCTTCCGAGGCTATCAAGCATGCTGAGATCGGGGCCCCTAGTCTCGAGGAAGGAACTTTAAAAGAAAAGAGGGATGAAGGCCCTACATCACCTGGCGCGACAATTGCTTCTCGGACTTCTGGAAATACTCCAAAGGGAGTGAGCTTCGAAGCACTTCTACCTGAACAGAGCGCCTCTGGTGATCTCCCTGAGGCCATAACAGTAGGTTAACCCTCGTCGTTTCTATCCTTCTCTGAGGATACCATTATGGATGCTCAAAACTTGAAGACGTCCGAGCTAGGTGGAGTCCCGAGTGAAAATGACCCCTTCTGGGGTTACTTTGTCGGGGTCGATGAGGCCGACCCAGCGGATGCAAGCTTAATCTTCGAGGAGGCTCGGCGTCTTTTCTCAATTATAAGTTTTTATTCTTCAGATAGGGCGGTGGCCATCTATTTAAAGGATGATGTCGATGCTCAGATGGAGTTGAGGGAGGTTTCTAATCGCTTCCAACTTTGCACTACTAATAAGTAGCAAGAGAGGGTCACAATAGCTTTTACCCAATTTTGGGTCGGGATCGATATCCACAGAGAGCTAGAATTGGAATCGAGTATCTATCTAGTTTAGGATTGCGTATTTGTTCCAAATTACTCTTCTAATAATTTTTGGGGTTTTCGTTATAATTCTACCTTTATCAAACAACAAATTGTAAATGCAACTAGATTAAGCTAAGAGTTAATATTGCAAGTTGTATCAAATGGTTTAAAAGGCACTAGGGTAGTGACTTCCGTCTAGGTGGTCAATTGACGGGTCATTGCATATAAGGCACGATTGACATAATTGGGGAGTATGAGATAACCGTTGCACTATTTTACCCACTCTACACCTCTCGGTGGTTCGAGTGATTTCGCCCGAATTGACTTTCTCAAGACCAACTGGGTATGCAATTTTGCATAAGCAACTAGGGTTCAAGTCGGGTATTACTCTCTCGAGGTTTAACCCTTCAATTGGGGCTATCAATCTCTTGATTATGCCTCAATTCCTTGTTGGACCAATTTCGGAGACTTAGGCTCTCTTTATCAAGCAGAGCCCAAGTCAACTAAGAACAAACTAGTGTTTGCAACCACTAATTCACCAATTAACCATGAAATTGGTCCAAATAACAAGCACCCATAGTCAATCTAGCCCTAAAATACAATACCCATCAATTACCCACACTAGGGTTGAGCCACAACCCTAGCTAATGGGTATAGCTACTCATATTTGAAGAAAGAAACAAAGAAATGGATGAAGATAAACACATATTAATTAATTGCTAAGTTAAATACAAAAATTCAATATGAAAAGTAAGTAAAATTGCCCAAAATGGCTACAAAAGTTGTTCCCACGAGTGCAACTGCCTCTAAAACTATCTTATACCCTAAAGATGGGAAAAGATTCTATTTATACTAAGCTAGAAAATCTGGACAAAAATACCCCTGCGGGGTTAATGCAGACCACACAGAATGGACTGCGGCCTCACTAGGGCTCTTGACTTCAAAATCTAACTCTCTGAACTCAGGCATTGCGGTCCGCACAAAATGGAATGCGGACCGCACAACTTTCAATCCTTAAACTTGGCATCTCTCTGATTCTCCTCACTGCAGACCGCACAGAAATGAGTGCGGCCGCATTGCTTTAAGTGCGGACCGCACAAATCCTAGTGCGGCCGCATTGGGCTTGTGCCTGATTTTCGACCTCTCTGAATATCCCAGTGCGGACCGCACAAAGTGTAGTGCGGCTGCACTGGGCTTGTTTTGCTTGAGCTTGCCTTGTCTTTGTCACTTGTGCAAGTTTCACTCCTTTTGAGCTGATCTTTGACATCTTGTCACTTTGTTGATCAAACCTACAATGAAGCACAACTTGTGAGCCTTTTGGGACTATTTTGTATGAATTTCTAATCAATGCATAAGCGAGAAGGAGTATAAAATGCGTCAAAATCCCTAGTTATCAGTTTTCGGCCGAGAAAAAAGAAGCAATGACTATGCCCGAAGCCGATCCAGGAGGGAGACCCTCGAAGAGGTTCATGATAAGGGCTTTGATCTTTCCGAGGAGATAAAGCAAGCTAAGGCAGATGAGTCTAATGCCAAATTTGATTCCTCCGACGATGATGATGACGTCAAAGATGATGAAGACGAGGAGGCTGTCAAAGAAGCTTCCCCCGGGGAAGCGACAGGTCCGGGGGGAATGCCCCTCTAGAGTAGGTAGAATTTCTTCTATATTTTTGTAATTTTTTGCTTTGTAGGACTCCTGTGTAATATCTTTTTGTATATATAAAAATAAAGGAGTTTCCTTGATTGTTTGCCTTCAATTTTTCTTCAAAGTTGCTCGATTTTTCCTTTAAAGTTTGCTTGATTTTTGATGCTATAACCTCCGAACATTGAATCAAATTCGGGGTAGAGTAGACCCTCAAGTTTTATGTTTTGATCAACGATCGATAATAGGTTACCATTTAAGGTTCGATCTTCGAGCTAATTTTGAGCTTGGGACTTTTGAATCCGAGCTGGGTAAGGTCTCGAGCATGGTGTGCTTTGGCCTTCAAGCTCTTTTAAATATTGGCCTTTAGGCTCTTTAGGTTGGCCCTTAGGATCTTTTAGGTTGGCCCTTAGGCTATTTAGGTAGGGCCAATTCGACCTCTAAAATGGCTATAAACCTTTCCCTCTTTTCGGCTAAAAGACTTAGTAAAAATTTTATATGCCTTAGCATGTGTTTTTTTACCCATTTGGATTTTTCGAAGGTTCGATTGATTGGAACCTCGTTTGTAATTTGATATGCAATGTTAATCGAATACCTCTTGAGTTTTTTTGAAGGCTGATGTTATCGAAGCCTTCGCTTTATTCAAGGGTTGATTATATCGAAGCCCCTTATAATTTGCTTTTACCAATGGTAGCCTGATTTAACTAATTTTTTCGAAGTATATGAAGGCTTTTTAGTTTTATGGCGGAGGTCGGACGTCTCCGAGCCACATTATTTCTCCGTAACCTTTTATATGACCATAGTCTTTTATATGGCCATAGCCTTTAGTCCCCAAATGTGATGGCCTTAGCCTTAATATCTAGGGGATGCCTCTTTGAGGTCTTGTGAGCTCGAGTGTGCCTCTTTGAGGTCTTATAAGTTCGAGTGTGCCTCTTTGAGGTCTTATAAGTTCGAGTGTTAGATTACTCGATGCGTCGATTGTCGATGACAGTCCCCGAGTATTTGGGGTTTTGGCCCTAGAGCCGTTAAATGTGAAAATAGTAGACTTCTTTGAGGCACAAAGTATTTTGATATATTAAAAATGCTTCTTCAAATAATTGATACATGCGTACATGTTTTGCCGCTGGGGGCTCGACTATTCTATATGGACACGGTTTATTTGGCTGTTTGGCCCATTATAACATTCCCCTATCGAGGCCTTCCTTGGCATGAATTACTTTCTTCGAGACTCCGAGGGTGAGTCCCCCCAGTGTTCGAGATTGATTGAAAAGAAACATTGAATACTTGTTGAATATTCCTTAGGTAGCATGTAAGTGTTGCATTGTTAAAAACCTTGCCGGTAAAACCCATTTGGGATAAAACTCGATCTAAGGGAAAACGAGTGCAACACATGATTTAAAACCCAAGGCGAGTTGAAAAGTGCCTCGATGTTTCCAATCGAACATCTGCAAAGGAGTTAGTTTTAAATACAAATGGAAAAAAGGTATAAGGTCATACCTCAATAGTAATAGCGTTTGAGCAACGATACATTCCAATTGTTTGGTAGTTACTCGCCTTCCATTATGCTAAGTTTATAGGATCCTTTCCCTACGACTCCGAGGATACGGTACGGTCCTTCCCAAGTGGGGCCTAGCTTTCCTTCATTTGGGTCTCGAGTGTTGAGAGTGACCTTCCTTAGGACTAAGTCCCCGACTCCGAAATATCGAAGGTTCGTCCTTCTATTGTAATACCTTTTGATCCTTTGTTTTTGCGCGGCCATTCGAATTAATGCGGCCTCACGTTTTTCATCTAGTAGTTGAGAGAAGTGTTCATAGCTTCGGGATTTGAGTCCTCAATTGCATGCTGAAACCTTACGCTAGGTTCCCCGACTTCGATTGGGATCAATGCTTCAGACCCGTATACCAAAGAAAACAGGGTCTCCCCCGTGCTCGATTTTGACGTCGTTCGATATGACCATAGCACTTCGGGCAACACTTCTCTCCATTTCCCCTTTGCATCATCTAACCTTTTCTTTAAGTTTCGAATGATGGTTCTGTTCATGGACTCAGCTTGACCATTTGCATTTGGATGGTAAGGCGCTGATAGAACCCTTTTGATTTTATGGTCCTCGAGGAATTTTGTTACTTTTCTGCCGATAAATTGTTTTCCACACATGCTATTTCAGCAGGTATCCCGAACCGACATATGATGTGGTCCCACATGAAGTCGATGACTTCATTTTCTCGAAGGCCTGCGCTTCTACCCATTTTGAGAAGTAATCAGTCATAAACAAAATAAATTTAGCTTTACATGGCGCCATTGGTAGGGTGTCGACGATGTCCATCCCCCATTTCATGAATGTCGGGGATATGACCAAATGGAGTTGTTCACCGGGTTGATGGATCATCGGAGCAAATCTTTGGCATTTATCACACCTTCGAACGAACTCTTTGGTATTTGTTTCCATGTTATCCTAATAATACCACGCTCTGATCACCTTGCGAACCAAAGAGTCGACACCAGAATAGTTCCCACAAGTACCATCGTGGATTTCTCGTAATACATAATCGGTGTCCCTGGGTCCCAAACATATTGCTAGTGGTCAATCGAAGGTTCTTCTATACAACGTTCCATTTTCGTCAAGTGAGAATCGAGCTGCTTTGGCTCGAAGTGCTCTCGACTCTTTTGAGTCAGTGGGGAGCTTTCCATGCTTCAAGTAGTCGGTGTACTTATTCCTCCAATCTTACGTTAAACTTGTTGAATTAATTTCTGCATGGCCTTCTTCGACCACCGACCTTGATACTTGGACGACAGTTCCTAGGATGATATCATCCTCTTCAATCGATGACCCCAAGTTTGCAAGTGCATCGACCTCGCTATTTTGTTCTCGGGGTACATGGTCCAGTGTCCATTCCTCGAAGCGATGCAGTTCACTTGAAGTTTGTCTAAGTACCTCTGCATTCGATTGTCTCGAACCTGGAAGCTCCCATTTACTTGATTTACCACCAAAAGGGAGTCACACTTTGCCTCGATGACCTCTGCTCCAAGGCCCTTGGCTAGTTCGATACCTACAATCATGGCCTTATACTCGGCCTCATTGTTAGTCAATTTAGAAGTTTTGATAGAGTCCTTTGACTTTTTTAATGTGGATGGTGTCAATACCGGTGCCAAGTTGTGTACTGCAAACATCTAGTTAGCTGCATGTTGCTCTTCATATACTGTTTTCACGCCATCCTTTGTTGGGAACTTCATCATCTGTTGAAGGGTCGATGGCACCGCCCTCATACTATGGATCTATGGCCTTCCAAGCAAAGCATTATACCTCATGTCACCTTCGATGACATGAAATTTGGTATCTTGTATGGTTCCGGCCACGTTGACTGGGAGTATGATTTCCCTCATTGCCATTTCACTTAACATGTTAAAGCCATTCAAGACTCGAGATGCTGGTATGATTTGACCGAGCAACCCGAGCTGCTCCACGACCCTTGACCTGATTATATTTGCCGAACTACCTGAATCCACGAAAACATGTTTAACTTGAACTTTCTTTAAAAGGATAGAAATTACCAGAGCATCATTGTGAGGCTAAGATAAGGCCTCAATATCTTCTTCGCTGAATGTGAGGGTGTCCTCGGGCATGTAGTCCCGACTCTGTTTCTCCCTTGTGATGGATACTTTGGTACGCTTGAATATAGGTCCCTCTGGGACGTCGACTCCACCAATGATCATGTGGATGACATGTTGAGGTTCTTCAGATTCATTCTTCCTATTTGCATCTCTCTCTCAAAAATGGTTCTTGGCCCGGTCACTGATTCACAAAGATGCCCCTCATTGAACAACTAGGCTACCTCCCCTCTAAGCTGACTGCAATCCTCGGTCCTACGCCCATGAGTACCGTGATATTTGCACATCAAGTTGGGGTTCCTTTGAGAAGGATCGGTCAGT